TATTCCAATCTGTTTAACATGCAATTACATTGCTCCCCAACCCATTTGTAGTGCTCCATCAGATCCTACTGACTTATTTAAGCTTCCTGTCCCCTACAGACATCTGTGACCCCTATAGTAGAAACTCCTGGCTTTGGAATGCTAGAGCTGAAAAAAACCAACTTTGTCAGCTAAGAGACAGGAGGCCTGGGTTCCCTCATTCCCTGAGACAAGGGCTGTGTGAAGGTGAGGCCTTGGAGAGTCATCTATGAAGCAGCACACTAAGACACCTCACAAGGCCTGGAGGTGAAGGGATTGGGCCAGGCCCTTTTTATTTTTTTTTCAATTGGGGAATTGGGGTTGGGGGGAACAGTGTTGGGGAATTGGGGAGAGGGACCAGCCAAGTTGTTGTTCAATCTTCATTGTGGAGGGCGCCAGTTGCTATCTGGTTGCCCGATCAGCAGCTCGTGGCCTCTAAGCTCAAAATGCTGTGTTACAGTCTTAGTTGCGGGTGGGCGTAGCCACCATCCCATGCGGGAGTCAAACCTGGCAGCCTTGTTGTTAAGAGCGCATGCTCTACTCACTGAGCCATCTGGGTGGCAGCTCAGCTCAAGGTGCCGAGTTCAGTCTGAGTTGCGGGTGAGCTGTAGCCCACCATCGAACAGGCAGTCTTGTTGTTAGGAGCACGTGCTCTCACCAGCTGAGCCATCCTGCCACCTGTTGGCATCTCAGCAGGAGCTCAGCTCGGGCGCAGCATCACTGGCCCATGTGGGAATTGAACCGGTGGCCCTGCTGCTCACAGCTCATGCTCTTAAGCTAACTCTTAATCAACTGAGCCTCTGGGCTGGCCCGGGCCAGGCCCTTTTAAGATCCATTGTTTATTATGGTTTCTCCACTCCTTGGTTTCTCCCTTTACCTTATCTACAAAGCTGTGAAATTCAGACTCTTTACCAGCTCTGATGGAATTGTGAGTCTACTCTCTCCTAAAAGTTCAGGAAAAAATCCATGTCACCAGGCAAGGAGATGCTGCCATTATCTCAGTCCTGGTCATCCAGAAGCATCTGGCCCGACTGCAGCTGAACAGCTGTCCTATCAGCTCCCAACCCCACCCAGCACAGATGGTGTCTCTTTCAGTTCACAGGCAGAGGCCTTCCCTACTGCCTGGGCTCCTGCCTCCAGGCAGTGTCCCCCACCCTAAATCCCCTCCTACCTCCTCTGCAACCTGACGGGCTCCTGTGTGCTCTCTTTCCCTGCTTACACGCAAAACCAAGTACCCACCAACCCCAAAGTAAAAATAACCCCCTTCTCTCAACCTCCCCTGCCACAGAAGCCTTCCCCCTCTTTTCCTCAGCATCACTAAATTTTTAATGAGTTCCCGTCATCGCCTGTCATAATTCAATGCTGTGCAAGTTTCTGACTGCCCCCCACACCCCGCAGCAATGCCCCTCTTTCTAAAGGGAGCAATGACCTCCACTGGCTCTTCTAACTAACTTCCATTCAGCTGTTCTGTGGTAGGGCATCTTTCACCTCCCCACCCAAACATGTCCGAGACTCCTACTGTGTGACAGGCACATTCCTGTGCTCTCTGTGCTGGTGTCCATGACTACATCCCCTGTCATACACTGACCTCTCTAATCATTCTGTCTTAACCTCCAATGAGGGCTCCTTTTCCTCCTCCTTACCTTTTAATTTTTTTAAAATTTAATTTAAAGGGTTGTATTTCCTTTTTCCACATAGAAAGTCTACAAAGTTAGAAACTTCACCAAAGTCTAATAATCCCTGATTCTTCAAAATGGGCATAGACTTTTCAACTCTGGATAATCCTCAGGGTACATAATAGCCTTGTGGAACTGATTCAACTAGAACTAATACACTTATGCAGGAGAAAGAAGGCTCCCTCTTTTTCAAGATTCCAACTCCACAGCTGAGAAACTCCCTGTTAAGGGATAGATTGAACCAAGCAGAGAGAAAGATCAGGCTACCACCAAACTACTTACTACAGGTGGCACACACTGCTCCTGACCAATCCTTTCCCACCCCAGGATTCATCCCAGCCCATTCAAAGTCTGCTTTTTGCAAACAGTAAACTCCACCATTCAGGAGACTGGGGGTTGTGGACCTCCTGACTTTGTAATCCTGACTTTCCTTCAAGCTTTGTCTTCAGTTCTCCTTTCTGTCCACATCCTCTCCTTTCCAAGGCTTGAGTTACCTTCCACGGCATGCCTTGTGTTACCTTTGCCACAGCCACCTCACTCTCCATCAACAAGCAGCCTGAAGGGCGTGAAGGCTGGATGGTGAAACTTGATGTGGGGGTCCCATCCTCCTTGCAAGTGGTGGCTTGAGTGTGGGCTGGGACACAAGCATGGTCAAGTAGATTTGAGAAGTCACGTTTAGACATCAGGAATCATACTCGTACAACCATGAGGGATCTATTCTGGGACAAAGTCAAGAAACATGGAAGGGTAAAGCAGAAAAGCAGGATCCTAGATACAGACACTGTTAATCCAGTGAATTAACTAGTGCTGGAATTGTCTAACCTGCAGACTTCTTTATAGGGATCACAGATGTTTTTAGTCACTTTGAGTTAGGTTTTCTGTTACCCACAGCCAGAGCACCCCAACTGATCACTGGGCTGTGTGCTGGTGATGCACAACATCACAGGCTCAGATCTGCCTTCTTAGTGTTACACCTGCTGACCCAACTGGTGACTGAACCTGTGGACATCCCACAGGCCCCTCAAATTCCACCCTCCTCACCCAGCCCCCCTTGCCCTGCCTCGCCCATTGAGGTTCCAAGCACCCTTCCTGCCTTGCCAGCCAGGACTTAATTAACCCCCTTGTGTTCCCAGACATCCTGACATCCAAGTGTTCGTAACCGTCTTAAATTCTGCCACTGCCTTCATCAGAAACACCAGATCTATCCCAGGCACTGGGGAGGCTGAAATCAACCAAAAATAATAGTTCTTATACTTGGGGAGCTTTGAATCACCACCAGTCTGCCAGCTTTCCCTTGCTGCCTGGAGCCGCACTTTCCCGGTCATCTCTGATCCAGCTGCCAGGGTTGAGTTTTGTTGCACATATCACTCAGCCCTTTATAGCCCTTCATTGCCAATTCCACTCCTGGACATATACCCAACAGATATGAGTCCTTTTGCACCCCTGCTAAAACATATTCAAGAATGTTCCTAGTAGTATCATACCTTTAGAACAGTCAAAACGAATCTACAGTATTAGAAGTCAGAAGAGTGGTTTATGTTGGGTGGGGCCCAGAGGAGCCTGCTGGGGGCTAAGAATGCTCTTGACTTGGGTAGTGGTTACTGAGGTATATTTACCTTGAGATACTTTATCAAACTTTACACATATGAGTTGTACAATTTTCTACACTTCTGTGCTATAATTCAATAAAACAAATACATGATATTTATTATTAAAACAAAGAATGACAGGGGCTGGCTGAGCAGTTCAGTTGGTTAAGAGCTGGCTTAAGAGCATGAGCTCTGAGCAACAGGGTCTCCAGTTCGATTCCCACATGGGCCAGTGATGCTGAGCCTGAGTTAAGCTGTTGCTGAACTGCCAAAAGGTGGCAGGATGGCTCAGCTGGTGTAACAACAAGATTGCCTGTTTGATGGTGGGCTATGCCCACCAGCAACTGAGACTGAACTCAGCACCTTGAGCTGAGCTGATGTCCGGTGGCTCAGTGGATAGAGCGTGCGCTCTTAACATCAAGGCTGCCAGTTCGATTCCTGCATGGGATGGTGGCTATGCCCACCCGCATCTAAGATTGAACACAGCACCTTGAGCTTAGAGGCCACAAGCTGCCAACGGGCAGCCAGATGGCTACTGATGCCCCCCACAACGAAGATTGAAGAACAACAACTTGGCTGGTCCCCTTCCCCAATTCCCCAACACTGTTCCCCTCCCCCAATTCCCCAATAAAATCTTTACCAAAAGAAACAAAAAAAACAAAGAATGACAACAACAAAGTCAACAACACCTTTGCTCTCAGTATACAACTCAAAACTCCTGAATAGAGTGAACAGGGCCCTTCACTGCCTGACCAGTGCCCCGTCCCCATGACAGTGGCCATTCATGTTCCTCACTCTTCGCAAAAGCACTCTCATCTGTCCATATCTACACACACACTGGTCCCTTTGCCTGGAATGTTTGCTGTTTCTCACGTCATCCTGGAAACTGCTACATTATCTTTAAGGTCCAACTCCAACTGTTCTGCTAACTATAGATTCTCTGACTCCTCTAGGGAGAATGGATTGTTCTCTCTTCCTTCCCAGGCAAACATCTGTTCACTGCCTCCACTCCCTCACACTCATCTGTGGGATGATCTGATAAGCAGCTACCTCACACACGATATTACAAATGCCAGGAAGATGGGGGCTGGTCTGTTTCTGCTCACCACTGCACTCTCAGGGCCCAAGAGCAGCTGGCACAGTTCAACAGAATGTGCTGAATGAATGAGGGAGGAACCAGATAAATCAGTGAATTCATCTACCCTACTCTGTGTTTAGCTATCAGCTGCTCAAAAGCAGGGATCCTGTCTGATTCATCTCCAATTCAGTGAAGAGTAATCACAAACCCTTTAACAATAAAAAAAACAACAACACAACACTTTTATTGTCTCCAGGTACACATGTGTGTACATAAACCTCAAAAAGGTCTGGAAGGATATTCACGACCTGATAATACAGGAATAAACTAAGATTGAGAGCTGTGGTCAAAGAGGGGCTAACCTCAGCTACGAGATTTATTTTATTAAATAGAGAAATATTTACACCTTCCTTGTGTAACTGAAAATTAAATCTTTCAAAAAACCCAACTGATACTCTTACTGGCCCACTTACTGTCCCTCAATCCCCAGGCCCAACCATAGACTGAACCCAGACCCCAGAAAGAGAGAGTTGCCTGGCCCTAAATTGAGAGGAGGTGAAGTCAGCACCCAACCAGGGCCCTTGGTCTCAGGACTGTGCCAGGGATGGCCCACGAGACATGTGGGACGAAGCAGACTGGCATCCTTGTATAGGCTCCTAAGCCCCAGCATGCCACCTCCTGCTGTTCTGGGCGTGCACCATCCTGGGTACAGCTGGGGCCAGGAGCCCGGACCCGGTCACCGTGTTATGGGGCTTCTGTTTGGAGTAGTGTTGCCAAGGCTGCTTCCTGCACTGCTGAGTGGCGGTGAGCAGGGAAGTGGAGGTGCAGGCTTGGGTGCCAGGGAAACTCAAGTGCCCTTGAACCTCATAGCACCCTGGAGTCACAGAACCACATCTGCAACATGGAGAGAAGGAATGCATGTGACTTCCAGAGCTATTTTCTCTTTCTCCCAGCTGCTGAATCTCCCAAAGATGAATGGCTGAAGGCCTAAATTTGCAAACAGTTTTCCCCATGTATACTTCAGGCCTGCATCCCAAGACACCCTTTTTTGACCTTCTACAGCCACCTTATACGAACACACAGCTTGGTGTGTTCACCCCATTGTGTGTTCCTCAGTTGCTACAGACTGGAAGGGTATTTGTCAGTCAGGAGAGCTCGGCAGAATCTGGAAGATTTGGTGGAATGTTGGGTGTAGGGGGTGTGGGGATGGTGCCTGACCATCCAGAGAGGTGGCATAGGATGCCAGTCCAGGAGGAGGTCTAGCTGGAGGGAAGAACACCTTTCCCAACTCTGCATTAAGGAGCCATCTGGGAGGCCAGCATGAAAAAAAACGGCAAAGAGTCTCTCTCCCCAGTATTTGCAGGAAGGTCTTAGGAAAGGGATGACAAACAAGCCCAGATAAATACAAGTTTTCTAACAGTGAGCTGGTCAGTATGCAATGGGCGCCCCACCCCAGAAAGGGTGAGTGTCCCATCTACGGAGGTATGCAAGCAGAGGCCTCCTGGGAGGCGTCGTGAGCCTCATTCAGAGACCAACGGGCCAGGGTGAATATTAATCACCCCTCTCTAACTCAGAGACAAGTGCACAGGGAAATGCTAGGCGGCCATTAATAAGGAGATGCTGTGTGGACTGAGGAAAGTGGACTGCTATCTGGAATGATTCCATGGGTTAAAAAAATAAATTTAAATTTAATTTTACAGATTAAGAAGCACACTGTATAGTATGATCCCAAATATTTATGTGTTTATATGTTCTTGATAGATAAACAACACAATGTTGACGGAGATTATGGGCGCCCACCCTCCTTCATTTATGTACATTTTCTAATTTTTCTAAAACACACTAACTCTATAAGAAATCTTTCAGTAGACAGAGCAAACCCTCAATGATTCAAACAGCATACCTGAGCCATAAACAGACCAGGAGAAGCAAACACCAGAATGTGTGATCACTCGAGGGCCTCCCAGCAAACACCTCTACCTGATGGAGACCACCATAGCTTCTTGCTGGCCTGAACCCTCAGCCTGGGCTCCAGCCCTTGTCCTCCCACGGAAGAGCCGCACAGATATTTTGGGGGCTGGAGGGAGTAGTGCCCATCACTCTTGGGCCACAATACAAAGTGCAGTCAGTCATCCAGCCTTACAATCCTGCAAGGTGGGAGCGTTTATTAGCTCAATCTTCAGATGGGGAAACTGAGACAGGGGGACATTAACAAGTTCACTCAGATAGTGAGCAAATGGTAGAGCCAGGATTCAAACCCCTCAGTCACTGCCTAATGAGCCTGCATTCCCTGGAAGGAAAATGGTTTGAGTTCCTGGGGCTAATGTGGCTCATACGGACTGACCTTCAGACAGGGTAATCAGAAGCTTCTGTAAATCTCAGATGCTGAGATCCCTAGAGGACCCTTCTGCCAGCATCACTGAGCCCGG